GCCAGATATCTCATTCATCCATCTATCCATCCATCCAGGTTTGTATCTTTCCTATTCTTTTCTTTTTCTCTTCCCTCAAATTCCCCTCCCTCTGGTTCTCTCTTGCTTGCAAGAAGATGCGCACAAACAAACAAACAAACAAAACCACATATTGCCTACCTCCTGATCGTCTTCGTGGACTTGAGGTCACTTATTTTAAATATCGTTCGTGGGATATAGAACCAACGGCCTAGACAGCCAGTCCATTCCACCCTGTTGGCGTAGAATAGTGCGCTAGGAGGACTAATCGTGACAAACATTCTTGTTTTTTTTTCTCCGTTTTTTTTTCTTCTTCGTTTTTTTCTCCTGAGGAGATGGAGGGGAAGGAAGGAAGTGGCAGAATAGATAACGCATACAATATGATATTTTTTTCACCTCAATTTGGATTCTTCCTGATCAGTGCTGTGATTGTCTTTGTGTGCGAAGATATGATGTGTAGATTGTTCATTCTATTTGTCTTGAGTTTATAGATTCTGTAGGTTCGAGATTCTTGTGTGTTCAATTCAATATATGTTTGAGAGTGCCTTCAATATATTGTCGGCTTGAAAGTTTCAATTGAATTTATGCTTACTTTTTGCTTGGAAGGAAAGTGAGACAACACGGAACAGAGAGAACAATCTCCCTCAATACCTAACTTGTAACTTATGTTTTATTTCGAAACATATAATTCCTGCTGTCGATAGTGTGTATCACCGCGACAGATCTAGACCCCAAACGCCTGCAATTATAGATTTGTTGTACGGCCATTATTCCTCTTTATCCATGTCCTCATCCATATCTCCACCAGTGCCAAATAGGTCATTCATGTCACCCGCACCCTCCTCATCGCCCTCGAGATTATCCTCTTCTGTACCAGCTATGATACCTTCCATACTCTCTCCAATTGGCCCCTCCTCTTCTTCTTCATCATCCTCCACCCATTCATCTTTCAACCCCCATGGCACACCAGTAAGAACAAATCTCTCAGCCGGCAATCTCACACCCCATTCATTCTGTAAAACTCTTGGCAGCGCAATTTTATTCCTCGCCTGTGCCGTCTCTAACAGAAACTCCTTGCTCAACCCACCACCATTGCCCGAACCAAATTGATACTGCAACCGGCTTTGAATAGCTAACTGCACCGCGTTTGCGCTAACCTGTCCATCTGCATCTCTGAATCCCCCACCGGGCGGCGCATCGCGCGCGCGCATCTGCTGTGATACGTAAGCATCGGAAGAGAGATGTAACGCATCGGAGAGAATGGACGAGGAGTGACGATATGCGAAATCGAGCAGTTGCAGCGGAACGCGTTCTTGGTATGCGGATACGCCGAGAGAGGAGAGAAGCATGTGGATGAGTCGAGCGTCGCGCGGGCGCTTCGATAATCCGTTGTCTTGAAGGGAGGTGAGGGGGACGCTGGGATTGGGCGCGGGCGATGAGCTCGTGGCTGCGGGGGCGGATGGGATGGGTTGGGAGAGCGGCGCGGAGCTGGTTTGTGTGGGGGGTGATGGGGAGGGGTGCCCGTTTTGACCGTTTGTTTGGGGTTGGGAGTCGCCGTTTATGTCGGCCATGATGGAGATGGAGTAGGTTTCTTGCGCTCTAAATTATTATGTTTCGTGGATGAATCTTTCTTTGATTGCGTCGCAAATGTGAGTTGATTGAATTGTTAATCGCGCGAGTTTTTGTTGTTGAGCTTAACTTGTAATGCGTATGTCACTCGAAGATTATTTTCTGTTGAGCATCGTAGTTGAATAAAAAGCTGTCGAACAATCTCGAATTCTGTGTTGCAAGATGAGTATATTTACACCTGGGAGCTCAAATATCTGTGACGCCAATGGGCAATGAATGCAGCTGCATAACCCCGATACAGCACAGACCGCACCTTAAATTTATTTTCGTGGTATCATTCACTCGATTGATTGCCCCTCCATTACATAACCAGTTATTTGTCGGATCGAACTTTTTCTTTCTGATTGTTGACTCACTTCTCTCCAAACTTCTTTGGAATTCTCATTGAATTTCAAGATATTGCTATCGTTCTTCAATATGGATACTACAACTTCACTTCCTTTTCTTCCCAGTGTTGACCTTGGGAATGGTCCTGCAGAATCAAAAGTAGGACTTACAAGAGACCAACTATCTTATCTGGGGTGCGTTTACTTCACAGCGAACAATTACACCATCGATATTCTCCTTGGATTCTTGCAGAGACACGTTAGCATTGAGACTTATGTCGATGTATCTACCATTGAATCTATAGACGACATTGTTACGATTCTAGATGCTGGAGCTCGCACCGTATTTGTGAAGCCATCACAGCTTCCACACTTGGAAAAGCATACAGACCGTGTTCTTCCAATCATCCCACAACCGCAGACAGATGTCGAGTTTCCCAATGGAGGATTACTTGCTTTTGTGGACGAAGCCTATACTCGATCTCTGCTGGAAGAATTCAAGACCAAGAAAGTGTCTCCGATTTTCCTTCTACCAACCCCCGAGAGCGATTTCGAATTACTTGCTAAAGTTGCCAAAGAATTCTCTGCCATTCCTATCATACCTGCGACACACCTGAGCATCGAAGCGGCTGGAGAAGGTCAAGTCTCTCTTCCAAAATTGGTTGCGGATTCATGGACTTCAGATAGAGCAGACAAATTGATTCCTACCGTGGTTACAGATGAGAGAGGAGTAGCTTTGGGACTTGTATACAGCAGCGAGGAGAGCTTGAAAGAGTCATTGAAAACCGGAACTGGAGTATACCAGAGCAGGAAGCGTGGATTGTGGTACAAAGGGGCAACATCTGGAGATACACAAAAGCTCATCAGAGTGTCTTTAGATTGCGATCAGGACTGCTTGAAATTTGTGGTCAAGCAACAAGGACGGGGATTTTGCCACCTACCACAATCGACTTGTTTTGGCGAATACAAGGGAATTTCTAAGCTTGAGAAGACTCTTGTTTCAAGGAAGGCTTCGGCACCTGAGGGATCCTATACCGCGCGTCTCTTCTCGGATGAAAAGTTATTGCGTGCCAAAATTATGGAAGAAGCAGAGGAGCTTTGTGATGCCAATGAAAAGAAAGATATCGCTTTCGAGGCAGCAGATCTCATCTACTTTGCTTTGACAAAGGCAGTTTCTGCCGGAGTTAGCCTTGCAGACATTGAACGTAACCTTGATGCCAAGAGTGTTAAGGTTAAGCGAAGACAAGGAGATGCTAAGGGGCAATGGGCCGCAAAGGAAGGAATCACCAATGCATCCACAGCCAAGACCGAAAGCGTTAAGGAGGCCGTCAAGGAAGCTGCCTCTGTGCCAAAGTCCGCGGACGACAAGGCAGGATTCAAGAATGGACGCATCACTATGAAACGATACAATGCTGCAACAACATCAGAAACAGATCTCAAGGATATTTTGCAAAGACCCTCCCAAAAGTCTACTGACATGATTATGGGTATCGTGAACCCTATTATCAAGGAAGTACGAGAGGGAGGTGACAAGGCATTGCTGGGATACACCCACAAGTTCGAAAAGGCAACTTCTCTTACATCTCCTGTTCTCAAAGCTCCTTTCCCACAATCACTCATGGACCTTCCAGCAGAGACTATCGAGGCTATTGATATTTCCTTTGAGAACATTCGTAAATTTCACGCAGCACAAAAAGAGCAGCCATTACAGGTTGAGACAATGCCAGGTATTGTTTGCAGTAGATTCTCAAGACCCATTGAGCGTGTAGGATTGTACATTCCAGGAGGCACTGCTGTACTTCCAAGTACAGCTCTTATGCTGGGTGTCCCAGCTATGGTTGCTGGCTGTAAGAAGATCGTACTGGCATCGCCTCCTCGATCTGATGGTAGAATTACTCCTGAGATCGTCTATGTTGCCCACAAAGTTGGTGCTGAGAGTATTGTCTTGGCTGGTGGTGCTCAAGCTGTTGCTGCTATGGCATACGGTACTGAAAGCGTCACAAAGGTCGACAAAATCCTTGGTCCAGGTAATCAATTCGTTACTGCGGCAAAGATGTACGTTAGCAACGACACCAATGCTGGTGTAAGTATCGATATGCCAGCTGGTCCATCTGAGGTACTTGTCATTGCAGACAAGGAAGCGAACCCTGCATTTGTTGCATCAGACTTGTTATCCCAAGCAGAGCACGGCGTTGATAGTCAGGTCATTCTAATTGCTATCGATCTTTCCGAGAAAGAATTGCAAGCCATTGAAGACGAACTTCACGCGCAAGCTATGGCTCTACCAAGAGTCGATATTGTTCGTGGTGCCATTGAGCACTCAATAACTCTTGTTGTCAAGGACATTGAGGAGGCAATGAGACTTAGCAATGAATATGCTCCAGAGCATCTCATATTGCAAGTCAAGGATGCCGCGGGTGTAGTAGAACTAGTTGAAAACGCCGGTAGTGTTTTCATTGGTGAATGGACACCAGAGAGTGTTGGTGATTATTCTGCTGGTGTCAACCACTCCTTACGTAAGTTTGTCACTCACCTAGTTGTATGACTGTGCTAATAACTGAAATAGCTACATATGGATTTGCTAAGCAATATTCTGGTGTCAACCTCGGATCATACCTGAAGCACATCACTAGTTCACAACTGACAGCTCAGGGATTGAGAAATGTTGGTGGTGCCGTCATGCAATTAGCGAAGGTCGAAGAATTGGAAGCTCACAGAAGAGCTGTTGGACTAAGGCTGAAGTATATGGATGAAAATAATCTATGATGATTTGTATTTATAGCGGGTGAATGAATTTAAAAGTTTCTTATTACGTTCTCGCTTTGTTGGTTAAGTTATTAATAATATAACTCGCGCGAGCAATTCAATACCGTACATGATTTTTGCTACGGTAATTCACTACCTTAAATATTCTTCCACTATCTATCGATTCCTTTTGAAAACTCACAGCAACACATATCCATCTCATAATTGTTCATGTTCATTCTGACAACTTGAAGCCACATCACAACAATCATCAACATCAAAATGGTTCAGAAACGCACTATTGAGGTTGTAATACCACAAATGTCAAGTCAAAGCATTAATTCAACTACAAAGTCAAACGAAGTTGTATCGAAGACCGTCCCAGCCATTCCTCTGGCCACGATTAACGAAGAGCAAGATTTATGCAGTCCCAATTCTCCACGTCGTACGAATGACGAATTGCAGAGCAAGTTGAATAATGGCAAAATGTCATCGATGTCTAGCTTGCTGGGACATTTCTTTTCCGGGGCCAGAGAAGAGGGAAAGGAAAAGGAAGATGCAGAGGTAGTCCGCGGTGCGAATCCTCCACATCGCACGAACGATCGATTATTCAACCGCGGCGGAGATAATCATCAAGCATCAGCAACTTCAAGCAACAGAAGAGAAGAGGATATAAAACGAGAGGTTGAGAATACGTATGAAACTAATCTTCCACATCGAGCAGGTGTCCGAGTGAGGTTCGAGTTGGATAATCATGAGATCTCGACTCCCTCGTCTGCATCCAATGAAACGACTCCGCAGATGACTCCTACTTCTTCTTTGGTCGATGAAATGGAAGGGGATCTCATTGATCTCTACGATGATAATGATGATGATGGTGATGATACCCCTCTCCGGCATACGGGCGAGGAATTCCTCTCGGACGAATTCGAATTCGAACCCCATCCACATCCACATCAAAACCTACATCGCGCCCCCAAATCATTCATCATCTCCCAACATCCCCCCACACAAACCAAAGCCCCTCCAACATCTCCGCAAACCCATCGTACCCCGTCTGCAAACATCATATCCACATCTCCACGTGCAATCACCAAGCACGAAATCTTCCTGCACACACTCCCATCCAAACATGCTTCAGTCCCACAAATCCGCACCTGGATCGCGAGCTGGTTTTCCGGTCGGGACATCGCGTTTGCCGTCCCGTGGGAAGACGAGAATATCGGGCTGCAGCGATATATCGAGTGTATTTCCTGGAGTGGCCATGATATACATCATGGGAGTTGTGGCAGTTTGGAGAATGATATGAGAGGATGGATGTTAGGGGGGTATGCGACACCGATAGTGAGGGATATTGAGAAGGCGAGGAATATGGAACGGGAGAGGAAGTGGGAGGTGGCTGTGGGGAGGTTCACGGATTTTCTTTATGGTGCTGTGGTTATGGGGGTGGTGGGACTGGTTTTGATGGTTTTGGTGCCTTGTCCTTGTCGGAGGTATTGATTCTTTTTTGCTTCGTCGTGGGCATATGGAATCCGTAGCCCGGAAGTAGCGCATTTTAGAATTTGCTCGAGATGTCGGTTATTGAGCGATACGAATATTGCGAGCATTAAGGGGATCAAGGGGTCTCGAGCGGGTGTATCTAAAGAGAATAAATGACAAGAGTTTCTGTCAATTTAGTTTGTGCTTCATAGGTGTATTGTACCTGGCATCCATTCAAAAAGAGAGAACGATTCTGCAGAAATGTCAAATTGGGTAAATGTATTTAGTGAAGTATATACATATTTGAAAATATGCTTGATAAATAAACTCGTCATCTTATTCAATGATTGAAAGAAAAGAAAGTTTTTAGAAACGCCCCCTGATGCCAACAACTATCTACACAGGCCGTGAAAAAAAAAGTATTGTATTGTATCGTCAATCATAACCAAAAGAATCTTTTTAGCCAGCTTATTACAAGTAGCAAATCATTAAACCCCACTCGAGCCCTATTAAAGCCCTGAGATATCGCATTTTTAAAAGACAGGTGGGAAAGAAACGATGCCCGCTAAACGCCATCCAGCCCTAGATATAACAGTACATAGAAACTGTGCTACTGTGTATTAAATATATTCGCAGTCTACGAATAGAACTGACTCTTTTGGAAACTTTCCACTCCGATATCCCCTGCCTTTCCGGCCACGGCAGGAGGGGCCGCCAGTATTTTTACTTGATTGGCATTGGCGATACTTGAACTAGTCATAGTACTAGTTCGACTCCCACTTTGACTTGCACTCTTGATTTCGGCGATAGGTTGACCGGGTCGCCTTGCTACTTCCAAGTATACACCAGGAAGGTATCCCATGCGACCATCGCGGGCACGACATCGCCACCATTCTGATGGATTGCCCATGGGATCACTCTTGCTAATCACTGCCACTAAATCTCCTTTCTTGACTTCCAGATCTACACCTTGGACTGCTGCACCGGATTCGGGGGTAAAGTCGTATAAGACGCGGCAGAAATCGAGTTTCGAAGGGTCGAGTGGTGCGGGGACAGGCTGGCCATCAGGGCCCATCAGTTGACCTGATGCAAGTAGTCGTTTTTGCTCCTCTTCTTGGGAGGCAGCGAGCGCTTTGATCATCTTACCCATGAGGTATGGGAGACCAAATGCAGCTGCTATGAAAAAAAGGAAGGGCTTCTTGGATGGACGAGGTGGAGAACTACCGTCTGGCAGTATTTTGCGGCCTTCGAAAGAGGCGAATGCGGAAGGTGTTAAGGAGGTGGCATCTACAGGCATGGGTCGACCTGTGATCTTTGCAAAGAGAGTGCGTATCCAGCGCATCATGGTAAATATTCCTAGGATGGAACCCAGACTATTGCGCAAGTTTCCGAGCTGCTCAGCAACAGATACCATCGCTTTAATTGTCAGTAAAGCACGTTTTGAAGAATGTCTTCATGGGAGACCGCCTACCAAAAAAACTAGAGTGTGTAGCCATGTATGTGCTCTCAAGCATCTGAGCAAATCCTCCAAATGCACCAACTACACTTTCAATTATTTGGAAAGTAGCTTGTGTGCTCTGCGTGAAACCTTGCGTTAAGCTATTGGGATCATTTGGTCCCATCCCTCCCATATTTCCATACATCCCGCCCATGCCTCCACCATACATAGATCCATAGCCTCCCATACCACCATAACCATAACCTCCCATGCCCCCCATTCCTCCCATTCTTGAATAGGGTGATGAGTAAGACCCCATACCTCCCATACCATATGGTGAAGCTCCTACTGCTCCCATCCTATTTGCGCCGTATGGTGAGTATGCGGATGCGTTTTGATTAACGGTGTTCGTAAGAGTAGATGGTCGTTCGGGTATGGCTGGTGCGCCCGAGGTACTAGCAGATGTAGATGATAAGACTGATGGTCCAGCAGAACTTCCCGAGGTAGCAGCAGTAGTTGAGGTCATGGCTAGGCGAAGAAGATCAAACGTTAGCAGGGATTATATAGGAGACAAATGTTATCTTATAGATACTAACCAGGGCTTGGAAGCGCTGTGCTAACTGCAGCGCCACCTCGTTCCCAAGGTTTCGGCGGTGAGGCCATGATAAATTATTCGACACAAACAATGTCGTCCAGACTGCGCCGATGTACCTACACAAACAGTGAAGGTCTGATGACAGTGAAAGGGATGAGTTTGGGTCGCAAAGTTGACGGATTTGATGGATGAGATTAAATGATTTCTAATGAGATCCAAGCTCGTGATGGCCGATAAATAAAGAAGGCTTAGCTTAGCCTGTGATAGTAGAATTTGACGGGGGGGCTGTTTGAATTGGATTGGCTAGAAGTATTTGTTCGGTGTGTTTTGATTGAAAGCGGATTTGGAAGTGAAATTAGAATGAACAGATTGATGATTGATTATACCTCCAAAAAGGCCGACGTTTGCAGAATTGTTATACAGTCAAGGTAAAAAGGAATAGATTTGGATGAAGGAAGGAAGTTTGATTGATTGTTTGAATTCCATACCATATGGAGGTTGGGAATGAAATTCATCAAAGACGCCCGACGCTCATGCCCGAAATTCGCTTCTGAGCTAATGAAAGACCTCGGTATTTCGGTCAATGGAGTTTGAGTCAGTCTATGTACTTATCCACTTACATACTAGCGACGAGGCTACCTAGACCCTTTCATCTTTTCATTACCTAGGTACGCTCGAGAGGAGAGAGGTGTATCTGACATATGATATTACCAAAAACTGTAGGTAGACGATTACATTCACAAAGTACAACCTGGGTGCTGGTAACTTGGAGCATATATCACGTTCACGTTGCCTACAAGTAACGAAATATCTGGGTAAAATTGACAGACTTCAAATAATATCAATCGTATTCACATCTGCCAACTTTCAAAGTCTTCCTCACAAGCTAATAAGCCTCTGAAGACTTTATCTCAATTCAGCAAAGGCTGGACTCTCTGCGATGAACTCCTTCCACGTTGTCAATTTGTCCACCAAGATCTAGATGGGATATTAGTATAAAAATCCAGAAAAGATCCCTTGAAAAAAAAACTTACAGAATGGCTCTCATCCAAAGAATCACCTCCATAATATCCAAACTCGTTCAACAATCTCATATTCTGCAACAATTCCTCTTGAGCGTCGTCACTCATACCAAAACTCTTGAGGATGCTCTTATAGACTTCATGGGGAAGTTCAACATTGTCGGCTCCTTCGCTAGCAGCAGGATACTGTTCTGTGAATTCCTTCAAAATCTCGGTCAAGGTGTAATACTTGGTGGCACCATAAATACGCTTTCCAAGAACCTTTTCTCTGTTGAGAAGAATACCCTTGACGAATTTACCAGTGTCCTCAACTGTAACATATTAGTAAGAAATTCCTGTACTTTCGGATAGCACCAGTACTCACCAGTAGCAAGAAGTGGGACAGAAGATGAAGCTGGAATTGGGAAAGCAAGCTTCCATTTGTTGTCAGGTGGTAACTTTGACAAACTTTGGCCAGGAATGTTGGACATGTAAAATCCGGCCAAGAAGAAAGTCGCTGGGATCCCGATCTTTCTGACATATTCCTCGATATGGGCCTTGGAGTCAAAATGTGTGACCTTGGGAAGGGCTCCTTTGGAGACTGTGAGAATCTGGTCAGTTCGAAGTCCTCGTAACAGGCTGGACCAACAAAAGTGGGGTGAGAACTTTGAAATGCCCAAATGGGATGAACGGGGTGGGATATTAGATTTCTCAAGACACGTAAAACAATAAAAGTACAAACAAGACGGTAATGAAAACATGGCATCTGAGCTGTAGAAGGAAACAGTGACAAGTGAAAAGACTTACGCTTCGTAATGTCCAACAAAGAACTCCAAATGAAGTGTTGAACACCAGCTTCCTATAAGTAGGCAAAATTAGACTCGAACTCTCTCACTCTAATGTGTTCAATGGCCAGAGATCTCATACCTTTGCAGCATCTGCAATTGCAATTCCTTGCTTCTTCTCTACGTCGGCACTTTGGCTCTCCCAAAAGTTGGTAACGGCAAAGACAGCGTATGCTCCCTTCACTGCAGCTTTGAGAGACTCTGCATCATTCAAGTCTGCCTATCGGTATTTGTCAGTTCCGAACAAAGCAATGTAGAGACTATTGAGGAACTTACAGCAACTGTCTCAGCACCGAGGGCCTCGATTTTCTTTGCAGCGGGCTTTGTTACATCTCTGGTGATGCCTCGAACTGCCCAGCTCTCCTTCAATTTAGGATCCGAGAGAATGCTTTGAACAACTGAGCCACCTTGTGCTCCTGTAGCTCCGAAGACGACGAGCAGTTTCTTATCACTGGAAGACATATTGATTGTTGGGTTTGATTTTGTTGATTTGGGAAAATTGATGGTGTTGTTAGTTGAAAGAGGGGTAAAAGTAGTGGCACAAAGGCTGCAATGCAAGTAAGATTTTAGAGGTGAAGATTGGATTGAGTCAACGATATCTGAATCTGGAAATGGAATGTATTCTTCCGTTCCTTCTCACCTGGAGGTACTTATAGGAAAATTCGAGCATACATTTACTCAAATCGTCCTGCTCCAAGCTCGCTCTGCGGCTTAGATTTCAGCTGCGGGTAATGACGACCGTGAATGACCTACCGTCACCCCGCGGATGACATTCCAAAATCTTAGCTAACCACTAGTTGGGTAGCTAGTAGTAGAGCATTGATGGAGTTAGCCCTTTGAAGCTCTTGATAATTCCAAGCTCTTGACGATGCCGAGAGGGATAGAATGGCGAGCTGATGATGCCGAGAGGGATAGAATGGCAGGAGGCAAAGGTAACCCTGAGCTAAAGCTGCTTTCTAAACTCAAAGTTGACTTAGATTCCAAGTTAGTCATCGCTTGGAGCATCTCGCATCTCGCTCTTTCGCGTTCATGCAGAGAGAACGAAGAGTGTGTGTTGATTAGGTAAGGTTAAAAGGTTAAAATGCCTCAACTTTTAATTGATTATCAATCCAGCTTCTAATGTGCCAAGCCTTCGATTGCAATTTATTCTTCTTCTTCAACATTAAACTTTTTTCTTCAATCACATCCCCTATCTTACCTACAAGTTACACAACACAACCTTCTTATAATGTCCGGTGGACTCACGAAAAAGGATCGAGGCGATGCCAAGCAAATGCATTTGTGGTACACATCGACTTCTTCATATTGATAAGGACCAGAGCAAAGTCCACGGCCTTGTGCCCATCAAAGACAATATCTTACATGTTCCCCATCGACCCCCTCATCAACCCCTTCAAAAGATTGAATAAGGATAATGCGTCGACAAATGGAGGCAATCTAGAAAAGCAGTACAACACCGCCTGTGGGCTTTATCTTACCTTGCCAAGCTCAGCTTCCTCCATATTTCTTTGACGACCGCTTGTCAATTACATTGCTGTCTTGCTGCCAAAGCTAACTATGCGATGAGCCACCGATGCCGTTCTTGTAAACCTACTACCTAATTGATTTTTTGTGATCCCTCGTGTGTACAGTTATTGAATCACTCAGATACATCGGATTTGCCTTAGAATCCGCCTTATCTTTTAAGAAGCAAGTGCTTGCGGTCTTGATGCAAGAGCATCTGCATTATCACAAATCACAAATCTGGGGCAGAACCTTAATGTAGCAAGCGCTTAAAATGCACCAATGAACTCGTTCATGTAGTAACCTTAAGCATCGAATTTTTCAGAACCAAACTGTCGGATTTCATCTCCACCATCTTCAATAATTCTTTGGCCAGCAGTGTGTCTCATAGTGCGATTAGAGTTGAGTACAAGTAAAATAAATATAGATATGCCCGGATTGAAGGTCCTGTCGCCCCTAGCGATGAACGCTGTAAGGGGGCCAAAGATTGTCAAAATCTATTGGGTATACACGCTCCGAACTCAAACGCTACCCTGTATTTTCGCGGGTCCGCGTCTAGTAGCCATGCGTTTATGTGATGATGGTGCAAGTTTCCCATTGAGTCTTGGGGTCGATTCGACGAGGAAGAGCTTCATAAAAAGAAGTTGTTCCCGTATTCGTCGCACAAAGCTTTTCCTGTTCAATTGCTTGCTTTCATTCTATAATATCATCGTCGGCAGACACTTCATAGGAAGCTATCTGTAATTCTGTTTCTACAAGCGAAATAAATCACGCGAATCGTAGGGGAACTAAAGCCATCATGACAACTGGAAATACTCTATCTGGGTCTCCTACTTCACCAACAGCACCATGGGTTCAGCAGTCAAGTAGAGCTGGTACACCAACTAGTGTTTATTCAATTACCAATTCCCCTGTATTAGGAGCCCCGTCTTCCCCGACAATATCAACATCTTCCAGTCCGCAAGTAGCTACACCCCCTAGGAGCACTAGCCCATCGATATCTCCCATATCGTCAAATAGTTCGTCGCATTCCAGTCTCCCTAGCGCTCACAACCAAACGATACCACCTAAGACTCCAAATTCCGTTCTTTCGAAATGGGGAATTGGACGGGAAACGCCAACGATAATCATATCCTGTTACCTACTCGGTATGTTTCTCCATAGAATCAGATAATTGGTATTCTAACCAATCTCATCTGTAGCTCTCGCAACCGCCTTCCTTCATTTGTTTTTATTCATCTACATTTCAGGTAAAGCAGCCGACGGAGAAGACAGAGTTGCTCCTCAGACGTATATCTCCACGGCTTCTAATATTCTAGCCAATGCTTTCTCATTCTTTCTCAAGACGGCCTTGGGCACATCTTTTGTTCAGTATCTATGGCGTCTTCTGCGCGTTCAAAGCATGAAGATCTCCACGATCGATACTCTTTTCGGACTAAAGTCCAATCCTTTTCAGATGCTCACAGGGGCTGCTATTCGTGCTGCTCCTGTTCTGTCTGTGTTGTCTATAATGATGGCTAGTATGACTGTTGCAGTCAGTTTCCCTCCTGGTGCTATTAATGTTATTACAATACAAAGGACATCATATAATTCGGTAGTGGTTCCAACATCAATGCATCATTTGTGAGTTTTCATCGAGAACCCGAATACCCATCGAACATTTTCGGCTAATCACAATCGACTAGATGGGGAATGGTTCTGGCTTGGCCGCTAACCAATATGCTTGGCTGTGTTATCACCGATATCTGAGAGTGCGGATGGATCTGTATCTGGATTTACTTCTAGGTAAGACATTCTCGAACTCTGCTCTAATAATCAATCTCTAAGAGTAGTTTCTAGCGGTCTGTTGTCAGGAAAACACTCCAATTTGCTTCCTCGCCTCGCTTTCCAAACAATGATCACAGGACAAGCATTCGATCAACCTTCACCCTGTGGCGTCAATTGTTCCTTTGTGATAGAATTTGAGGGCCCAACGCTTGGCTGCAACTCATCCAGCACCAATATCACATCCAGTGTCACTGCCAACTCGACAACCTTACTTCCAGAATTTACGATCTACTCAGGAAATTGGTCTGATCTCACACTTGCTACGCCTGCACTTCGACAGAAACTTTACAACGGAACCTATACGAATGCACATTGGCAAAGCAGCACATTATCCCTGTTAGATACAGAAGTAAACACCGTTGATGCCAATAACATCAATGAAACCTTGACCTTAAACACATCTATGATACAAGACAATCTTTACTGTACCCCTGGCCGCGCACTCTACACTGTAAACAACACCTATATCTCGAACGTTCTCATGCGCAACGTCACCACCACCTTCATTTCGCCGCTAACAAATCTCGTACTGCACACCCACGACAATGCCGTCATCGTGCCCGGATTCACCAACGTCTCTGGAATTATTAGCGGATACGATTTTGGCAGCAACCCCGCAAATTGGAGCGCTGAAGCTCTGGCCTATTATCGCGATTTGAATATGATGACAATTTTGGATACTATGTTTTACTACCTCGCTGGGGAATTTACAGCGCTGCCGGCTGTTCTCCTAGATACTGATGAGGAAAGGGCGGTAGATGCCATTGATGCCACGGGATGGGGGGAAGATTCGCCAGGTTTTGGGAATGCTGATGATTGGAGTTCTGGAGGTATGTTTTCAGCCCCATGATCAATCCTTACCCTCTCCTAGTCCCAACCCTCAACTTGAACACTAACCAATGCCTCCCCAGCTCTCAACGGCACAATCATCTCCCGCACTCCTCTAAATACAGCTTTTACACATTACACCACCAACTCCTCCGCAAACCCCTCCTTCGTCGTCACACAAAACGCACTCAACGCACTCCTTCAAAACATCACCCTCAGCGCCTCCCTCTCTTACTCCCTGTGGTCCACCCCCACCAACACCAGCATGCTCACTCTCCACAACATCTATTCCTTCTCGCAACCCCTCAACCTCCTCCTCCCCTACTTCCTCTCCCTTCTTCTCTCCCTCCCATTCCTCATTCTCGGTCTCTGGGCCCTCGTTCAAAACGGCGTCGCAGCCCAAGACGCAAACTTTACACAACTTCTCTGCACCACGTCCTCCCTCTCCGCACCACCCCCGACACCCGGATTATCAAATAGAATCTCCAGCATGGCTATCCCATCGCAGCTTCGAACTCTTACCCAAGCGGCCTGTCTGGGAAACACAGAATCACTATCGAAACCTCTCAAGGAGTTGCGCATTCGTTATGGCGAGCTGAAGAATCCGAATGGAAATTCAGGAATGGGAAATAACATTCCGATGGTGGATATCAGGAGAGCCGGCTTTGGGCTTGAGAGCGAGGTCGAGCGTTGGTGAAGGGGGGGAATTATGGTGTTATGGTTTGATGTTTCTTTCGCTTTTTATCGGGGGGGAGGGGGTTGGATGGGTGGATTTTATATGGATATTATGTACAGTGCAGTAGATGCATTAGAAATTAGAACTTCCCCAGTAGAAATTAATGAGGTAATTAGGATCTGGACTCTAGACTCTGGAGTATAAAGTCTAGATCATTCCACGAAACAAGAATTCACGAATGGACAAAAAATGCAGAAGGTAGAGAGAAAGCGCCATTCTTCCTGGAATATTGTATATACTCAAGAATCAGAATATATAAATTATAAATTATATTCTCACCTTAATCTAGTCTGGTCTAGTCTACCTAGTCTCTGATATTTCAATCCAATACGAGAGTGAAAAAGATCCCATCCTAAGTCTTCACAACATCCTTCATCAAGTTTGACAAACTATCGCTGCATAGTTTCAGGTATGAAGCTCAGGTTTCCATATGACGATTCACGGAATCTATTGGACCAGATTCTTACAACTGTGAGTAATCAGTGCACCTCTTTTAACGGTTAGATGGTATTTAGGTAGATAGCTGTGACGTCACAGAATCCTTGCCTGACACTCAACGAACTCATAATAACCTGAATAATTAGTGATGCTAGACGAGGTGTGCTAACTAGTCCATCACTGGCCCCCTTCAATCCTGAGTCCTTCGGCGTCTCCTTCATCGTCTCCTCCCACTCAACAATCTCCACCCACCCAAACCCATCTGAGCAAATTCACTCAATATGATTTCCTTAAACAACAAAATCAGAAGCCACTTAGAGTTTTATATACTACATAAGGAGACAATAGATACCGAACTCGAGGAAACAGGTTATAACGATTCCAATACATTTGGGCACAAAGTCTGGCTTTTTATTCGCAATATATTGAGTCGCTATATACAAACGGGACATACCCATCCCATCGCGCTATACGAGTATGATCTCCGCGAACTATGGTATCTGTGCGTGCAAGGCGCCAAACTTACAGCTGCAGAACATCCTGCGCAATACAGATTGGTGAGCCAAGTGCTCCACACAAGAGAAATGGGTGTTCTGTCTCGAAAGAGCGGGGATGCAAATGAAGAGGAGGAGAGAAATGATCAGGAGGGCGAAACGGAAAGAGCATCTACATCCGATGGAAACATCTGGCGCGATCTTCCATTCCTGTTCGAAGAAATCCGAGCAGCGTGGACTCTCTCCCCAAGTATCCCTCCCGTCCAGCGCCACAATCTAAGTGCATTTATTGCCCGCCTCGCTTTTGTTGGAGTTCGTGATCCCGAGCTATGCCTAGTTGGGCTTTGGATCTTGCGCGATACCCTTGAGACCCCGCTGCTGTTGACAAGTGGAGGAGCCGAGGCTCCCCGCCAGGATTCAGAGCAACGTCCATGTACCATCGCGGACCGACTTCTCACCGTACTAGTGTGGTTTCAGCACTGTGGACACAAAATCAAAAGCCTCTGCATTCTAAATCAGGATTTCGAATCCGGGGTTTCAGAAATCGGGGAATTGGCTCAAAAAGCATAGATAATGCCGAGTTCGGGATTGAGTGTAGCGAGGTGGATATTTTGGAGGGAGAGACTTGAAGAGATGAATCGATGTGGGAATGAAGAGGTTGCACCGCTGGCATTGAAAGCATGGAAAACGATGAAGTTCTGGGGTGAGAGAATTGAGTCTCGAGAGGGCGCGAAGCAGGATATGGAGTGGTATTATAAGGGAAAGCAGTGATCTAGTGGAGAAGATGATGTTAAGGCTCGAGGTCTACTTGAATCGATATATATGTATGGAATATTGGAAAGCGGAATGGGAATTCATAAGAAAATTAAGTCATCTGGGTTGTTCTAAGTGATGGCCCATGAGATATGATGTTGGTCCGAAGTACGCGGCGTAAGACTTACTTCTGGTGACTCGGAAGGGAATATTATATTAGGCGAATATCTTGGAAGGAGAATGTCGTAACCGTTTCTCGGTCTTCTTCTCTATCTCTTACGCATTTTCATCGTATACTGCTTTACGATATCTTTTCTCTCCTTGATTACTTTCCAGATTTTGAATAAACACTTTTTAATAGGTCAACTACTACCACTATAAAATAGGAGTTTACTTTATTATGTTTTCTCATCCTATAATAAATTTAAGAATAACTTCTGTATTTAGTGGTTATGTAAAAAAAGAAAAATGAGTAGAATGTCATAGTCAAAATAGAGTCCAAACCCTAATAAGCTCTTACTCAAGACCATCTAGATAATATAAACATCAAGCTTTATAGTTAGACTCTCCGGACCAAGCTATACTATATACCTAAATCATTTATCTAGTCAATTGATGTTAAACACCTGAGGAAAGACAGAAAAGTATGTATGACTCAAATTTGTATCTCAACATCAAAGTCAAGGTATCACTTCAGACACTACATGTATCACGGGAATTTTGCAATAGTCTGGGAAAAGGTTATGAATATCATGACACACACCCCAGTGTTACTGGGAAGACACCATGCAATAGAACTATCCTACTGATGTCAAAGCTTCTCATTGGTACGTCAACATACACAAGAATAGAAGGGTATTTTATGAACAAAACTATCGCCTGCTTCCTAACACCAGTCTAAAGACTTTTTTTTATCATTCTCTCCGCGGAATTTTCTTCGTAACCAATCGAAAATTCCAGATCTAGTTTAAGATTAGGAGATGGCAAATTCGGAGAGTTGACTTCCAGTACTCGTACCACAGATGCTCTGAATTTCATCTGTTGTCAGACCGGTTGGGAACTCGTAGCTCGTCGGAAGAACCTGGATATGTATAGTTGAAGTGGCAGAACTGAATACGACGGCAAGTTTCATTGTGCTGGTAGTCGGCCGTACAAAATAGTCTGAATCTCCCCCAGGTTTGTTCGTGTGAAGCGTGGACTTCAGGAATGTCGAACCACTGTTCAGGGCTTCTGCAATATCAAATTCACCGCAACCAGACTCCCAACATGAACAACTTGGACTCCCATATTGAATTGTTCGAGGAATCTGAGCGTTGAGGATCCAAACCGAGGGCATGTCGCCATTGAACCCAGTTCTTCCATCTATCGGCATGCTGAATTCTAAGAGGAACACTTTGTTCGCTCCATTGAAGCCATCTACGGGTGTGTCAGTAACGAAGAATCTTCATATATGAAACAGTAACTCACGGTAAGCAACGGATCCAGGTCGCACATAGCCGCAATCATTGTTGCATTCTTCGTCAAGCATCACGACGATCTCTTCATTTGATGGCAAGGTGGCATCAGCGAGGACTTGAGGTGATGATGCACCGCCTGTGCCACTGCTGTTCACGAAAGAAAGTGAAGCACCATAAGCTTCATCGAATACGCCTGAGCCTTGACCACCACTAATGAAGACAGACTCAGTTAGCAATTGATCTTAGGTATTGATATGAGAAGCGAGAAAAACATCAGGAGAAGTTTATCCGCTTGTCGTACTGTAGAATTGCACATTATATAGCGGGGGAGAATGATCATACTTACTGATTTCCAAGAAATACTAGGTTATCAAGTGTCTGCTCTGCAGAATTATAATAACCTATTCTGCTGTAGGATCCAGATGCTATAGCTGTGGCCGAGCTGGTTGTGCTTGCAGATACTTGAGACTCCGAGGCAGATGGAGTCGTGGATACTTGGGGTTGAGAAGCAGATACATGTGTAAATGCTTGGGACTGAGGCAACGCTGTGCTGGTCGGTGGTATGATCGAGGTAGCTAGGTATAAAGGTCAGCCACATAATCAATTCGTTGAGGGGAATTCAATTTCGTACAAGTTTCCTGGGCCTCTTCGCTTGTAGCCGCGCCTTCAGATACACTTTGAGGTACGGTAGTAGATGCTTGGGACACCATTGTCATGGTACTTGGTCCAAACCAATTGTTGATCCATGTTTGTATTTCACCATTTATTGTAGCAGTAACCGTCTTCGCACCACTATTAAAAGCATCAAGACCTGAGGTGGGATAATTATTATCCCACGAGACAAGTTGTCCATCAATAGTAGCGTGGATCTTGTCGCGCTCCTGATTGCCTGCCCTAGCATGTTTATCAATATGCTGAAGATGGCGACGGCGTCTAGCGGTCGATCCCTCACGTTTCTTCTTGCTAGCAGTAGCGCCCGGTGTATATGCTGCGAACTGCTTCAACTGAAGAGGCCCTGAAAGCATTTGTTAGATTGTATTGAGAGCTAGACTAGGGTTTTTTGCAATTACCCCGAAAGTGAAATGAAACTTCTTCGTCTAATGGAGAAAGCGGACCAGAAAACGACTTCGGTGTAGAAGAACAAATTCCATCCGAGGACATATCGGTAACTTGATTGTAAGTTCCTGGTGCGCCGACATTGCTGTACAAGATAGCATCCACGGGATTGCAGAACCAGTTTCCAGAGACCTCGGAGCAGCCACTGACAATGGATACTGCTAAAGATAGAATGTAGGCCGTGGCCAAAATGTTACTGCGCATGATTGATCTTGTGAGGTAAAATAGAAGGTTCTTTTTTTGTCATTCGCATAAGAAAAATGGGTAGTAAGTAATTCTTGCGGGTCGTGAGACAGATTGGAGTCTCTATTTGAAAGGTAGGGTAGTATTTGGATCAAAGTCTTGAGGCTCGTGTCATGAAGAGGGCTGAAAAATTTGCGACGGCGTAAAGATATATTATTGAGGAGATTGTGTGATGTGAGTTTCTTGGTATGACTGTAATTTTATTCCTCTTGATTGGATCGTAACCTTCGTGAATAGTGAAATAGAATGAATCAATGGATGAGTGAATGGCTGTCGAGAGTGAATAATGTGAATCGCCGCAGATCAATAATCATGTAAGTCGTCAGAAGAAAGGTACCCAAAAAGAGCGACTATAGTTAATATGTAGGTGAAGCAGAAGAGGTTGAAAGCGAAATGAAGGTAAATTGTGGTTGAAGTCAAATTGAAGTGAGAATGAAGTGAGAGTCTGGAGTGAAGTCTGAGTCTGAATGAATAGTCGTGAATTGAGGTACCTTAGGTTAGTTTTGAGAGGGAGAGAGACAGTTGAAGAAAATTGATAAGATGAAAAAGGAAACCGACAGCGAAGTAGAAGGATCGTGAAGTGGATAAGACAAATCTGTTTGACGGGAGTTTGTGTTGTGGTAAAGAGAGGAAGGAATAATTGAGAACGGACTGCCGGTCTAGCTAGGAGTTATAAGTTATCTATAGGAAGGATCAACGCTTTTAAGAAGGAAGGAAGGAAAGAGGGCTGAAGTGTCCACGGGTAGTCACAATCGTACTTGGTTGGGGTGAGGCTGATAGAGAGGTTTAAAAAACTAAAAATAACTAAAAATAACCCAAATTTAATCATCACCATCACCATCACCATCATATCAGCAACGGCAACAGAAGGGTGAGAACATGTAGCAAGGGCACAAGTGGTTGACATCACATCAAACTGTCAAAATTAGCCGCCATGGTAACTCAAAGCCGTTCGTACCTGCATATGCATAACCGAAAGTTAAAAACAGCCAATGATATCACAGGAAATCGACACATCAACGGTCACATAGAACATCAAACTGTTTGTACTCACTCACTAGGTAATTTGAGGACCGACTTACTGAGTATGTATAACACGATGAACGGTTGGGTTATTAGAATTTGTAACTACTTATATATAATAATATTAGCACTTATCCATTCATTACTCATTGTTTGTACTCTTCTACTCTTCGACTGTTCTACCCATCTACCCATCTACACTCTTCTTACTTTCATGAGTATTCGAATTTGCTATTACTTCAAGCATCGTATACTCGCCATACTTCCGATATAACGCTCTGAGCTATGAATCAGGAATGTCTCAGATTTGAAGACCAGCCCAATGATAAGATATCTGTCTTAATTCTCTCCCGCATCCCTTATCAGATTTCACGGTGCCGTGGTTGCTGGGAGCATCGTGGAAATTGACTTGCTGAGTTATCATTATCTCAGGTTCGAGCCACCCCGACTTCTTTTGCTCTACAAAAAATATACCGACCCACAAGAAACACAACAGACACATGATCTTCACTTACACAATAATAAACCACATGGAGATTTTGGGCAGATTAATATCAAACAAAAAAGTTGTGAATTGAATGACTGATAATTTCAAAAAATGCATACATTATGTATAAATTGGTAAATGCAAGGAAGTATCCAATGGTATCCTGTCTCCTTACTCCATCCCGTGAAGATATATCTAATAACCTTTTCATTATAGTAACTACTACTTTGATCCAAGCTGTTGCACCAATCCAAGTCTTGCGAAGTCACTTGTGCTTCACCAATAGGCTATCCTACAAAACTTGGTTTGAACCAAATTCGCCTTTCCAAATTACACTATATATCGAGGTTGAGGTTTTTTTGTTTTCTTCGTTAGAGTTGACGCCCAGTCCTCCACTTTACATAGTTCCAGCCATGATAACTGTCAAAGTAGCAGTGCTTTGTGAGATGTAACAGCTGCCATCGCTGTTACCGATTGGCTCAGTAGCAGTCAACCAATAGTTTTGAGTTGGATCACTGGTGCAGGCTGGTGCTTCCTCACTAGTGATGGTCATGTTGTAGTTGTTACCAGCAGAGTTCATGATGGCGGACATATCGTATCCGGAACCAGTCTTGAGGAATTGAGCTTCACCCCAGGTGGTGTCAAAGGCTCCTGAAGCGGCAGTTGAACTACAGGCCTGAGCCCAAGCGACT